GGCAAGGGAAGTGAAGTCTATCCTCATTGTCAATTAACCATCGTGTTTTTCTTCTGCATTTTCAGGAGATGAGGCTTCTTTGATGGCTGTCAATTTGTCCACCATTTTATCAATCTCTGCGTCACTGTCTTCGTCCAGGTTTCCTTCGAACTTAACACCTTCGGGAAGACTAAAGGATGTCCGACTATCCCTATGCAATGCAAACTCGTCTTGGGTTGAAACGTCGAGGAATGTTTTCGTGGAATGGCGCTTACCCAGTCTTTCCCTCGTCTTGTAGCCTCGGTAGTAACTTTGTATCTTGACGGCTGCCTCAGATTTGGCGCGCCGCATTTCGCGCACCCGATAACCTCTGTAATGGGCTTGGATGGTCGTCGCTGCCGCGCTCTTTTGTTTAAACTGTTTGCGAGTGTAATAACCACGGTAGCTTGACTGGATTTTAGTCGCAGCTTCGTCTTTATCTGTTTCTGTAGAATCATTTGCTTTCTGTTCCTCATAGCCTTGTTCATTTGCTACGCTGCCATCTTTGAGAGATGAGTCTTCGATCCCTCGATCAGCTGGAGAGTTACTTTTCAGCTCACCGCGAATTGCATTCCTGGTTTGATGTCCTCTAAATGCAGATTGTATTTTAATGGCGGCTGCTTCTTCCTCCTCATTTGTCGCAACATCCTTGCTATCCTCGTCCAGCGGTTTGGTCCAAACGTCGTTATCTTGCAAGCCTTTTCTAACAGCATAGCCTCGATAACCAGCCTGGATTGTTGTCGCAGCTTCGTTTCGCGCTCTTAATTTCTTACGAGTGTAGTAACCACGGTAACCAGCTTGTATGCTAGTGGCAGCCGCGTGTTCTTTCCCGCCGTACTCTTTCCCGCCAAAACTGCCAGCAGTGTTCAGCGGCAGTTTACCCTTTCCGAGATTTTTATTGTTCCCAGTCTTTTCAGAGGTTTGTGCTTCTTGCCTTGCTTTGTGCCCACGGAACGTTGCTTGAATTTTAGTGGCCGCTTTATCAAGTTCTTCTCGTTTGCCTCCCAAAGGCTCGTACCTGTAATATCCATCGATCTGCGACCCCAGCAGGCAATCATCATACCCTCTCTCTGTGCAAAGAAAGGAAACGTTCGTGAAGGACTAACCAATATCCCCGGTGTGTGGAGCAGGCGGGGGGAGGGGGCTTTGGAAGTAACAAACCCGAAAAATAACACCCTGTTCAAGGGAAAAACAAAAACTAAGAACGATATGAACGGGTTAACTACATTTTATTTTATTTCCGAAACATTGGAAGTTACAAAAGCATTGAATTTTTCTCGTTTAGCTGAGCATTTACACACTGGAATTTTAACTGATACAATGTAGGTACCCGGTGTAAGGATCACAGCGGGAACACAATGCCAACAGGGGCAAAGATAATACCCTATTTAAGGATCGGGAACCTCAAAAACCCTACCCTATCCCGCAGCACATATCTATATAGCCAGGAGCCATAATCCCCGATTAGCACACGTATGGGAGTATATCCCCCCGGGAAACCAATATGCAATAATATTTTTCATTTGAAACTCACTGGTACCATGGTTTTAAGGGTTTTCTTTCGTCTTTTTCCTACTGATACCGTCATCGCGCTAAAATGTGATTACAAAATAGAAAAGATGCAACCTTTGGAGCAATGAGTTTTTTAGTACAAGCGGCCATTTTTCAATGAGATCGCCGAGTTCTGCTGACCGATGAAAAGGTTAATGCGAGCGCGGATTTATACTGGTTTCCAAGCACCGTTTTAGGAAATCTTCCAGATTTATCAAAATGATTCAGAAACCCAGGAAATGAAATGAGACTTTAGGGAGTTACAAATTCAAAACATTTTCTGTGGGAAAGCCTCTATAGAAGCTTACACTTTCGGCACTCGTCGTTTCGGAAATCAGTCACTATTGATCGCTATTGAGTTATTCTAGGTTTAAAATCGGATGAGCAAGGTTTTAGGTAGTGAACAGGCAAATAAAATTACGTGGAATTCCTTGGAATAAAGCTTTTTAGGTCCACTCATTCAATCTATATCGTAAATCCTTAATTTTTGTGACCATTGTGACAAACTATTGCAAAAACTTACAATAATACCGTATCGTTTGCTAAAACTTACCGGCAAATTAAAACATTACAATATTACACAGTATGTTTCTAAGAGAAAATAACTTAGAGCAACATCTTAACCGATTTCCAGTAATTTTGACAATAAAGCCTAGCTTTATAGATCCAAGAGAACTCACTGACTGTGAGTTACAGTGTACACAGAAACCTGAAATTGTATTTAAAGCTCTGTGGCTAACACCGGACTAAGCGGTGAAAATTGTTTTCCATTTGTTACACATAGCAGATTTTATATTCCTAATATTCCTTCAGCCTGACTATTACAAAAAAGCTAATTATATGGCAGATGGTCGAATAAGATATAATAATTCTTGGCAGATGCCACATTGGAGGTAAACAGATACAATAGAATCACTTCGTTAGGAGAAAGCGAAACATCTGCATTTATTACGGAGTGAGCCGCGCGGAAAAAGCAAATTTCCCATTTACATCAGAATGATTTTTCTAATGATTGCTCTTTTTTTCTGTGTGTGTTTTGTTTATTTTGCCTTTTGAAAACACGAAGGAAGCCCACGGAGAATCAAAATAGTGCATTCATTGAGTTAAATAAAAAATTCTAATATAAGAAAAAAAGAAATTAAAAAAAAAATCCAAATGTCCTGATAAAGCTAATGTATTAAATATATTGCTCTCTTAAAGCGAAGAGACCTTGTCAATGTGTCAGTCCTTCAGAAAACTTATACATAAATCGGAATATAAATAAATATCATATTATTTAAATTTAGGTCAGTTTCTTTCGATATCGTTGGAAAGGTAATGTTTTTTTTCTGCATTGCACCAAACTTTGAAAAATATTCCTTTATTTCAACTGCGCTCGTTTTCTGATGCTCAACTAATGACAAATACATTTTGTGAATAACGAAAAGCCATTTTAAAACTGCAGGTGTAGATTGAAATATTAAAATATCTGATGGTGAGAAATTGTTCGCGCTTCAGGGTGCATGTGATAAGGCCCTTTATAGAATGCGAAAGGCAGAACATGTCGCCGAGTTTTCTGTTTCATTTTCAAGGTCTTGGTTATTCGCTTTAAAATATAATAAACTTTATTCCAGTGTCGCGGAGTTACGGTCGAATAATCGAGTAAACTCTCAGTAATAATTCATAGTTTCATTTCTCGCAGATTGGCAACGTACACTCAAAGAAAATAAAAATACCCGCAGCTGGATTTTCTCTTTCCGTGAAAATTCGCCTCAGCAACAAAGAAGACAGTGATTGACGATTTTTGGTTTTTTTTTTTTTTGGGAACTTTTTAATTTATCAGGGAACAGACAGCGTTCATCGTATTTTAAACCGTAGAAAGAGTCGTTTTGTCGACAAGGTCACCGTATGTATAATTTATAATCCCAATTCTTAATTACAGAGTTCACGCCGTTTAATCTTTAGCTATCTTTAGCACGCCGCAGGTTCCTTGCCAAAATGTTGTTAATGTTTGTCCATGCGGCTTCCTTCGCGACCCTTCTCTTTACAAACTCATTTCAAACTCTCTTTGACATTAAACAGACCTAAAGCCATATTTAGCAACGATGGGTCACAGAAGGATATATAAACTTGGGCTTTCCAAAAACTTGTGTTCAGACGTAGACGGTAGTATAAAAGGAAACGGGCAAGTTGAAACAATATTGACTTGTTAAAGAGCCCATATCGGCATGTTTGAGTAACTGTGTTGGTGTTTTAAGAAGATCTTGCAGTGTTAAGCGTTTCGAAGGGGTCCTTTCTGCCTTTAACCAAACATAAATATTATTGTCAACGATGCGACTTTAAATTCATGTAGATCTTTGTCTGATCCTGTATAAAAAGAGAGCTTATTGGTAGCAAACATTCAACACTCTAGAAAACATTTAACTCACTAACCTTGACGCTCTTTTAACTTCGCGTCGAAATACTCCGCGGCAAATTTGTAAATGTCGGCTGGATTCGAACGCAAAATTTCCACAGTTAGGCCTTCAAGCAAGTTTCTAAATCCACTGGGCACTGTCAACCTTTTGCGGAAGGTCTCTTGAGGTGCTTCCTCGGTCTCCATTCTACGAGGATCCGACTAATCATGTATCCACTGGCTTTTTGATGATGATCTTGGCTTCAATCTCGCAAATTATCACCTACATTCACGGTCGCTCTGGTAACAGAGGCATTTATATTCAATTTCATTATTTACAGTGATGTTGCTATTGAAAGCGCTCAGCGTGAAGCCGCAACTCGATGACGTTATTGGAAACATTCCACTTTGACTAATTGCTTTTCCAATTTATGAGAGCGGTTCACTGTCTGTCGAATTAAAAGAAGACCTTTAATGCGGAAATGACCATGTCAAGTGACTGAAATTTTGCCGTTCAAAAATGAATAATGTATAGCTTCTGCAATTTGCTTTTATGTTTGCCCTGTCATTTCCCGGGTGTGATTTATCAGCAAATATGTATCAATTTTTTTATTAAGAACTGTCACGCCAGCTTACTTCTTGATGCGTGACGGCATTGCACGCCAAAGAGACAATTTAATTGTCTCTTGTTAAAACAGAGCTTCAACAAGAATGTGAGGAACAAAGAAGAAATATTTGGAGCTCACTTTCTATTTCATCGTCTGCTTATTCTATTTTATTATAATGTTGTTTTAAAATTCTTATTTTGTTAAAAGGTTGAAATATTCTCAACTCGGGCAGTGTCAATCTCTTGCACGCACTGAAAGACTCGGCACGCGGTTCAAGAAGTTCCATAGCGCAAGGGCTTCTGGGATAATCACGCCGAGGCCAGTGGTACAATAATGGCTTCTGGTATTGCTTTGGTTTCCGGGTTCCCATTTGTGCAACCGATATTAATGCGGCACATGGTTAGTAAACATTTAGCTGGTTTTCACACTACGACTGGAGAAACAGTCTAGCTTAGAATCGCTATCTATTTATGCGCTGACCCAAAGATCGCAAACATGCCAACGCGCCGAGCTAGTTCCCAGTCTTCTCTAACTGNATTTGTAAATGTCGGCTGGATTCGAACGCAAAATTTCCACAGTTAGGCCTTCAAGCAAGTTTCTAAATCCGCTGGGAACTGTCAACCTTTTGCGGAAGGTCTCTTGAGGTGCTTCCTCGGTCTCCATTCTACGAGGATCCGACTAATCATGTATCCACTGGCTTTTTGATGATGATCTTAGCTTTAGTCTGGCAAATTATCGCCTACATTCACGGTCGCTCTGGTAACAGAGTTCCCTGCTAGTAGAGGCTCTTTTCCTGGTGTTCGCAGCGAACACCAAGAAAAGAGCCTCTGCTAGCAGGGAAGTAACATGTATTCAATAGCAGGGAAGTATACATGTATTCAATTTCATTATTTACAGTGATGTTGCTATTGAAAGCGCTCAGAAACCCTGATCCAGCGTGAGAGCAGGGTTTGGAAAGTTTTCCCCATCTCAGGCCCCCCATCTCAGATCCCCCATTTCAGGTCCCCATCTCAAACCACCATCTCAGGCCCCCCACCTGAGACCCTTCACCTCACACCCCGCGTCTCAGACCCTCCACCTTAGACCCTCAATCTCAGGCCCCTCTCCCCTTCTTCTTACTCATATCGAGATGCTAAGTCAGGCCCACAATAACAGAGAATTCAGAAGGGAGACAAGCATATAAGAATCTCGAACATCCGAACGAAGAATATTAAAAAGGTCGCGCTATTCGGATAGCAAGATATCACCGAGATGCCTCGCGTTTCATATTAAGAAAACCTACAATATCCCCGTGCATAGAAAATACATGTACTAATTCGAACCCGCAAACACAATGTAAGTCTAGAATATCACGCCCCGAACACAAAACTCTCATACGATATTATAGTACTGATAATAAAATATTTGGCCCAGAATATGGCGTATCAGGCCCCTAGCCTTCTGAGCGCAAGGCTTCAACATATAACATATGTATGAGTTCAGCGTGAGACTAACCTATAAGTCGCAGAGGATGAACCTCGCGCTTTCTCGACGGAGATAGAACTTATAACTTCCCAAACATGAAACAAACGATATTAGATATCAGACTCCACAATTTTCGCGCGAGACTTTAGTATTAAACCCGAAAAAGGCGACATTTTTAGGCATTCGAACGTTTGATAGGTGATTTCAAACTTGGATCTTTCGACAAGATGTGATGTGTGTCACAGTTAGGCGCGAAACTACAACATCAGGCCTTGAGCATCCACATCCGATACCGCACTTTAATAAGATAGTACTATCTCAGACCCCACGCTTTTCGTGCGAGATTACAATATCAGGCCCCGACAATGTCAGACCCCACGTTTTTCGCGCGAGACTGCAATATCAGGCCCCGAACATGACACCTACAATCTCAGACGCCACGCTTTTCGTGCGAGACTACGATCAGGCCCCGACAATGTCAGACCCCACGTATTTCGTGCGAGACTATATTATCAGGCCCAGAACATGACTCAGACCCCACGCTTTTTGTTCGAGATTACAATAGCAGGCCCCGACAAAGTCAGACCCCACGCTTTTCGTGCGAGACTAAGATAATGATCAGAAACCCTCGAACCTTCGCTTCCCGGCCAAAGATTCATTTTTCGGGCAATCTCTCAGCCGCGCACATTTATGAGCCGACATACCAGCCGTCTGAAGGCGTTTATTTACCAAATAACATGAAGACCACGAAGCATGGTACATCAGAGCCCACATCGCAAAGGGAACACTGTCAAGGTTGTCAACAAAAATGCAACGATTCAAAACTGCAGTGTCTGGGATGTGACCGACTGTACAAAGACATGCCGGGCTTCAGAGGGTCGGGAAAAGGCGGTGCGTTGGCGTTCTATTCCTACGACGGAGACGCAAGACACCCAGGTTACTGTACACAGTATTGTGCGAGCAGGTACGGCAATTATTGGGATCCCCTCGAGAGTAACTGGGAACAACCGCATGAAGCTGAATGAGGATGAACAACCGAATGAGGCTATTAACTGAAAGGAACACGAGAGATTTTAGTATTTAAGCGAGACTCGTGAACTTGTTATACACCGATATTTTTTTTTTCAATAAAAGAGGTTCAATAAACTGGCAATTCGTTTATCATTCCGATTAGGTATAAGCAAATGGTTTGTCCCTGTGAGGGAATTAGAATTTGTTACAATTTCTCAGGCTTTGTATGCAATGTTTTGATTAAGGAGAGGCCAAACGTGAAACTTCATTTTAAAATTTCAGTCAATGACTTGTATTTACATGTATGTGGAATAAATTGGTCATTTAATTGGAGTCCATACCCTCTGGTTGCAAGTAGACGACTTATTTGCACCTATACGACATTGCTTTAATGTACCGAAGCTTTTCTATGCAATAAGGT